AATACGTATTATTTATGTGTAATTTTGTTTCGTAAAGCTCGGCGTGGCGAGGCGCCCTCACGCGACTGGCCCCGCCCGCCTAATGTTTCACTTGCGTTACTGTGACAACATCTACATTCTACCAAATTGTATTTTCGTGTTTCGACTTTTTCTTATAAATACTATTATTAAGACAGCGACACCGTGACAGGTGCTAATGTTAGGCATCGAGTCCATTTGTAGGAATGTAAACAATATATGTTGACGTGTGAGTTAGAGTTTATTTTCCCTCCTTTATAACAATTTCCATGCGTAGGTAAGCTTTTATCCATTAGGAGTTTTCTTTAATATTAATAGTATCCGACGACGCGTTTGGCTTAGTTTGTAGTGACCTTACTTGCTGCGCAAGCGGTCGCGGGTTCGAGTCCCGCTGGGGGCATTCATTTGTGTGATGAGCATGAATGTTTGTACTCCAGTCATGGGTGTTTATATTTATAATATCTAAGTATTTAAAGTTATATATATGTAGTGTATCAACTATCTGGTATCCATAACACAAGCCTCGTAGCTTACAATGGAACTAAATGGTACTGTGTATGAATGTCCCAACAAAAAAAAAGTTGTTTTGCTTATGAGAAAAAGCTCTAAGTGAAATCAAAGTAATATTTATTCTATTACGTAAAGTCTATTAGATATTTTTGTTAAGAATTTCTGCTGGTATTAACACGTTTAAATACGTTTATATTTTTTTAATTCTATAGGAATTAAAAAAAAACATAACAGATTATTATTAGTAATTTTAATATTATATGAGTTTGTCTTTTATATACATATATAATAAGGAAACGCAAATATTTGCAGAAGTACCTACATATTTAATATTAAACTAATTAATTTCAAAGAAAACTTTATAAACAAAATTAATATTGTATTTCATTATCCATGTAAAACATATTAAAGCTACAGCAAATGGAACCACAACACAGGATCAAATTGTACCTTACTTAACTAATCTCCATAATATGTAGTTATTTACATGGAATCCTTTATAAGTGACGAGCTAAAACGGACTGTATTATATCCTTATAAATATCAGAGTAGTATCCCCTTAATGGTCTCGTTTTCTTACCGTGTGGTCGTCTGTACGTACAGTTACAAAGAACATAAAATAGGCTTTACAAGGCGGCAGGAAGGGAGGAAAGGACCGGTACATCATTACGAGGCCCCGCGTCATTTGTTTATTAAACACCCTCTGAGGTGGAACAGAATAATGGCAACGTAGACTTTGTCACAGGCATTTTGCCTTGAAATTAAATCGTAATGATGATGCGCCTCACTCGCCGCAGTATTTGGTATCCGACTCGCGTTATTAAGTTCCCTACCATCTTGAGGTCAAAATGAATAGGTTTCTTTAAAAGCCCGCTACTATGCCAGCTGTCATAGATATGAAAAGAATTGGGTTGAGTGGTCCTCGGGCGTCACCGAAAAGTTCGAGTAGACTGAAAAATGGCGCATTTTTCTGCCTCTTCTCCCTTGCCTTGAATTGTATTTTGTTTTATCAAGACTTCTAAATGTTATATACCTGTCTGTCAATTTGGCTGTTAGCAACTGACAGTTTTTTCATCTTAAGTCATTACTTTAACATAAAATATACGAAGTTTAGAATAAGTATTAAAACTTCCTTCAAAAATTCCTTTCTTATAATAATTATAATAATTAAAGTAGTTTTTATTCTAAATAAATACAACTTCCGGTTTCGGTTCGGTCGGCTTGGTATTTTGAATATACTATTTGTTTCAAAACAACATGTGATATTATACCAAAGCAAGATGAAATGACCCAACAACCGCGCGTACCTGCGGTAGGGAGATATAAATGATGCCCTTTCATTTATTGCGAAGGAAGTCATATGAATAATGAACCAACTAAGACTTCCCCTTTAAATTTATACCGAATAAATACAAATATTATATAGACATAGCATCGAGCTTATAGCTACAGCTGTTAAACTTTTTTTTTGTGTTTCAGTGATTTTTATCGTAACGACACTTTGATAATATACTTATGTATTTATTTAATTATGAAATATACCTACCACTTCACAAATATATTTTTTTATATTTTATTTATACCCGATTCTTAACCTCTTAGTTGTGATTTTCCTCTTGCTACAATAAATTTTGAATTGGCATGTTCATAAATGAACATACTCTATGAAAAATTGAAATTATAGGTAGGCCGACAAACTTGTAACATTCCCTGAAAGAATTTTAATTAAAAAGTTGTTGGAAGTACCCTCGCTATATGTAATCTGTTGTAGATTAATTTATAATTGGCTTCCAGTGGTTAGCACTGGATTGTTTTATTTACGCAGCTTAAACGCTAATTACACGTGTATTGTTCAAATGGGACGAATAAAAAACATTTGCTAAGTAAGGCAATTGCGAAATAATGGACGCCTTTATTCTTATTGATAAAATATTCATGAATATATGTTGTCCGTGACCTTATATGTACATTCTAATGTAGCTAAAATATGATATATTAAAAATTAAAAAAAAACCGACTATCTTAGACAGATTTTCATCAAGCATAGCTAAGATCACTCCCGACTAATTCACTTTTCAAACAAAAAAAATAAAATCAAATTCGGTTCGACTGTTCAGGAGCTACGATGCCACCGACAGACAGATACACAGACACACGCGCAGACACGTCAAACTTATAACACCTCGTAGTTTTTGCGTCGGGGGTTAAAAATATGAATATAAAACCAAAATCGGCAAATATTGTATATAAATATTGGAACCCGCCAAAAAAATGTCAAAAGTCGAAAATAGTAGCGTATTTTGCTGTTTATGCTACTATCGTCCATTTTTCCTTATAAAGAAATCGTTTACTTTCTTCAAAGAATAAGGAAAATTTTATAAGAGAATTAGTCATTACAATTTTTAAAAAGAAAATATAATAGCAAAATTATATTATATTGTATTTTTAAGCATTAATGTTTATAAACAATTATATTCGAATATAATATAAAAAAATAAAATATAAAAGATGAAAAGATCTAGGTGTGCGATATGTTGTTTAAATCATTATTGTTTACTTTATGCTCAGTTTTATGACACTGTCCATACTATTCCATAGTCTGAGATTTTAATTTTATAAATTAAACAACATTGTTATTTTGGAAATTGAGTAAAATTGTTAATACATTAACAAATAATAAGTCTGAAATATCTACGAAAAACGCTTTCCGAGTAAATGAAATAGCGGCTCCATTAATATTTAACTTTAACGAGCCGTTTTAACGATACTTTTAAAATGGAAGTCTAATAGGTATATTCGTTGTAAAAATATACGACTTGGTTTTAAAAGTAAAAAGAGTATTAGAATGAACATTATTTTTAAAATACAATTCGTAATAAAGTAATATTTTATAATTTAAGAATAACTTCATCAAATTTAAAGAGTAATTACAGTTATCTCTCGAATGTTTATGATTTATATGTTTATATACTATCAACCATAGATAATTTTAATTTGTATTGTTCTATATATTTATATATAGCTTTTGCCCGTAACGTCGTTTGCGTGATCTCCAAAAACGGTGTATTCTTCAGTGATGGTTGCCACTCAAGTTAGTTCGTATTTCTAACTTACATCATTGCACATATTATATGAGCTTAGTAAATTAAAAGGAGGGTACCACCTAAGGTAGCAGTCCTAATGGTTTCAGGAATTTAAATAATTAAAAAAGGGAACTTTTTGTGGTTAAAACTTTCACAAAAGAAAGCGTTTCAGCGTATGCAACGTGTTTCAGGGGTATTTGGTGGTTTGGTAACTGAATATTATCTCCTACAATACATAGTTTATCATAATTAGTCAATTTTACGTGAATATTTGACATTTAGACTCCAGTCTCTCCCGTGACGAAGTTGCTGTAAAGCATTCGAAACAACGAGAACCAAAAATCATAATAAATTTGCAAAAAACATCCGAAAAGATAGTTTTATCTAACATGTCAAACTCACAAATTTACGTTTTTATACGAGTAATATTGCTATAGAAGCATAAATTGGCAATTTTAGTAATAGAATTTTAGGAATTTCATTAATAAATTATTGAATTGGAAATATTTCCATTATTGAATTGGCATGTGCTTGGATATTTCTCAACAATATCTATTATTTTACCTTGAAGTTGACATTGTTAATTGATAAGAAGACAGAATTAATTGTTTGCTGCTAGTGATAAAGCCTAGGAAATACTTCAATGTTCTAAATATTAAAATTAAATAAACATTATAAACAAAATTGAGTCTGTTTTAAGGTGAACTATGAAGAATAATCGTGTAGAGTAACAGTTCTAGTAACACCAAGTTAAATCAACGTGTTAAAATTAAGAATAACCCAAATATTTTGTTGGTACTCTTAAATTGGTAAATGGACGCATTCAACGGTTCCAACGTTCATCGCGAGTTTGATTCCCATGACCTATTGTTGAGACTTTTCACCTATTTGTTGCCGTTAAAATAAACACTTTAAATTATTGGTATAACACGAGAATATAAAAATCGTAAGATTCACCTCTATAATGATTATTTATTTGAATGATATTGAATGATCAATATCATTAATAATTCTACCGCTTATTATAATAATATTCTAATTATATTCATCTTGGATTTTCCGATGATATCGCCATGTAAACAACATAAATTGATACACCATTCGAGCTTGTCTTTATTTAGAAAACCATTCCGTTTGAAAAACAAGGGTTAGGAACCACATTTCTCATGCTCTTGCTGCTTCGAAATTGATACGTGATATGTTTCTCATAACCTGTAACATACTTTTGTGTTTTGTAAATGTTAAATATTACTTACATGTGTTGTGAAGTAAATCGTTATATTACAATCCTATAAGAAACATCGTTCACTTACACTATTTACATAAAAAATGAGTGAAGTTAATTATCACACGATAACACGTGTTATTTGTGCAAACAGCAAAGTCTCAATTCCAAACCACTAATGATCGTCTCGATGAGGCTGCCGTATCACAATATTCGTACAATTTCCCATGGTGAATATTCCACATACGTCGAGAACTACTTTTCCCATCGGGTGCGGCGCAAAGTCCGTGGCAATGCACTTTCGCTGACCCCATGCCTCCTCCCACGAATGCCATCTCTCTCGCGCTTACTGCTTTCTTCATTTCACATCTCTATTGCACGCAGTTGCGCTTGCGCTTCCCGGTTGCCGAGGTAATAACATTCTACGACGCTATACGTCGACGGTGTGGAACGGGTTCTGTCGATGACTTGGGCGATTACTTGTATGAGAAACAATGGTTACCATGATCACATTTACGAAACTGTATTTGGATATATAAATATTTCTGTAATTATGTATACCATTTGGTTATTAAATAGTGCTTATAGTAATATTGGTTTATTCTAAGGAAATAAAAGACTATTACATAAAACACATTATAATAATATAGTATATAGTATTATTTAATTACTTATTATAATTCAATTCTCAACACTCAAAGCAAAGTTTGAATCAATGAAATCACAGAATAAATATCTCTATTCCCGATACAAAACAATACATTACACAAACGAAATAATATTTCAAAATGTAAGATTCCGTAAGTATAACTTTCTTGGAAACTTGAAAGCGGTCGATCTTTCTAACATTATATTGTTTCACTATCTCGTTGCCTTCCAGGTGAATGGTTTTCTTACACATACGTGTATGTAAACTTATTTCGAAGTTAAAACGTCTCGATCATTCGTATTGTAGATGAAAAGGTATTCTGATATTGTTGCATTTTGTTCCCAGATCCATTAGAGCCTGCATCTAAGTTATAGATTACGCAGATGTATCTCCATGCCATGTAATTTAAAAGCTGGATATCAAGTGTGCAATCGAGCGCCATGGATATTTCAACTTTAACAATCAAATATTTAGGGCTACATTCGTTAGTATCACTCTCAGGAGGACCGCGTCCTAGACTTGCGAGCGTACCGTCGGCCTCACAGCGAACAGTTCGAACTGACTGGCAGCAGCTTTTATTTTGAGGCATAAGCCTAAGTATTTGAGTGCACATTTGATTGCGCAAACTGTGTTCATACGAAGTACCACGACTAGCAACATTCCATCGCACAATGAGTAATTTAAAAATTCAAAAACTCGTCGACGCTCCGCGTACGAGAGGTGAGGCGATTCTACGAGAGCCGCTCTGCAATTTAGACTGTTATCTGTTTACGTACTACACAATGTGCTTAAAACAGAAACAATCCGTACAAACAGAAGTTCAAACAAAAACATGTTCATTCGACCTCGATCGTATTTATTGAAATTGCTAACACAAATAAAATTGTATCATAACAGACGTTTGTATCCTCATTCAATATTCTACGAGCATCGGAACAAGAGTAAAGCTCATCAATAAGTGAGTAAAGAAAATGGTCTCAAATCTAATATCAATTACAAAGAAGAAATCTACCTAATTCTTAGAAGCGGACCGCATGCTGGATGCTAATTGGCAAGCATGCAGCGCGTCGATGCCCACGGTCGCTCGCTGCCCGCGTACTGCACTATTTTAAAATGAAATTCTTTCGATTCATATATTCCAAACTATAATTGCACGTAGTTGAGCTATGTAGCGCTCGCTCCTGGAATTTCGAAATAGGTATTTGATTGCGATTTCATTATTCAATCGTTTTTCGGGGTGTCTATTATTGGCATTTATCTGGTTAGTATGCTAGCGTGTGTGTTGCTAAAATGTTAATAATATTGTGAATTTATTCTATGCGTTAGATACGTTAAATAACTACGCAAAATAATACTAGAACAAAGATAGACAAAAATATAAGAATAATTTTCTACTTATACTTATTTATCACTAGCGAATCACCTTCGCTCAGGTGCCTAACAGTATAGTTATAGCCTATCTAGTATCTTCCGTACCACATCTGGACATCTGGTAGGTATACATGAAAAATTTCATTCAAATCCGACCAGCTGTTTCAGATGTAGGAATAATAAACATAAACTACAGGTACTACCTATAATGAACAAATGAACAATAATATTGAGTTTAATCTCATTTAATAAAGAATTAACGTGAACATTCAATTAACATTATTGTTAAATGGAATGAAATAATAAGTAATTTAAATTGGATTGCAAAGAAAACTACACTTTATTTTATTTAAAGTGTTTTTTAAGCTTTTTCATGTTAAGGTTATTTTTTCAAAGCATATGTGAGAGAGAGGTAAAAAACTCTGTCTGTAATTAGTCTTTGGAGTCGAACCGTGAACAAATGCGGAGTCAAGTGGGTAGCAAGGGCCGATGCACCGGACGCCTCTATTAAATAGGTGTTGCCACAGTAGTGATGTTTTCAAAGAATTTGTCATAACATATATATATATATATATATATATATATATATATATATATATATATATATATATATATATATATATATGTTTTGTGTACATATTTGTTCCGAAATGAGTCACTTTGTTACAAATTCCCAATGTATTAATAAAAAATATTAAATGATTTGAACTCGCCGCGTCATTATTTTACTAAGTTTAGTCTTAAAAATCTTTACTGCGTGACTAATATAATATAGTTATCTTTTTAACGTTAAGTAAAGCACGTATCCAGTCACATTTCACAAGTAATAAACATGAATGTGTGGGTTCATTCAGATGTACAAATGTTATTCAGAAATTGGATGTATAGAAAACTCCAGTGGAAAATTTTTTTTACATGAGTTAGGCGAGTTTGAAAAGTAAAAAAAAAAACGAATAACTTTGTAGATTCCGAGTTTCGCTTTGATACTCTAAAGTATGAAAATCTTGTTGATTAATTCTTTGGTCTCATTTGAAGTACTTTTTTATGAGAAACAAATTTAATAGCTACGTCTGGCATAATATTATATATATTTTGTGTTTAAAATCGTTATATGTTATGGGTATAATTAAGAGAAGAATGCTTTTTACCAATTTATTTTTCGTGGAACAAAAAAAAAATGTTTTTGGTCTGCACTACGTGTTAAATAGTTATAATTATATGTTAGTTTTAAGGTATATATTATGCTATGGGCCTCTGTTTACATATTTAAGATCTTTTTGTAAATATTGCCTGAAATAAATAATTAAATTAAAAAAAATAAAAAATACCATAATATTAGATTCGCTGGCTGATGTTAAAAACTCATGTTTCATATTTCGCATTCTGTTAGTTTTATTTTTATCAAACAAAAACTGTACAGTAGTGGTATACGTAAGTCTAAGGAATTGTTAATTTTTATTAAAGTAATTTTTTATTTGCAAATACAAATAAATTACCTATATACTTTCGAAATGAACTTACCGTATCGGACGCTGTGTAGCGCCCGTTGCTGCACTCAAGTAGTGAAGATTCACTCACCTGGAATCAAGAAAAATACCTACATTAAATATTGCAAGGAACACAAACTAATATTTCTACTCTGAATTCTAAAGAAAACGTACCAAGTGTTATTTTTATATTTTTATCACAAACAGTAATGATGTTTTAGATTCTGTGCATATATGTAACACTAGCATTGACCGCGGCTACGCGCGCGTTCAGGTGGCCAAAAACCAAATTCTTAGGTTTCACATATTAGTATACTCTTACATTGCAGTTTTTGTATTTTTTCTCAGAAATGAGACATTTTTCCGCGATAAAAAGAATCCTATATGTTGACCGGATAAACAGCTATCACCATACCAAATTTCATCAAAATCCCTCCAGTGGTTGGTTTTTCTGCGATGCGGTAACAGACAGACAGATAGACAAAAATTCTAAAAACTATAGATTCGGCCTCTGTATCAATAATAATGTTTATTTCAATAAGATTTTTCAAAAAATATTTAATGTACAGATTCGGCTTATTTACAATTTTATTATATGTAAAAAAGAGTTTGTCGTTTAAGCAGATAGGGTTGTTAGAAAGAAGTTATTGGTTCGTAAATGTAGAATGAAGAGTGTTCAAACAACAGCTTCTTTGAGGAAGTCGCAGGTTTGATGCCACTTATCTAAGGTAGATATTCTTGCAGACTGTGTTGTTAATATTTGGCCTTTTATCTTAAGTTCCGCTACGGGATTTTTGGTCACAAGAGTCACTGAAAGTATCTTCGCAAAAGATATTCTAGTAGACAATTGTTGCGCAAACACAATTGCGCTATGTTTTTCTTCCGTTTGAGTTTATCTCATTCTTATAATTATTAATAGTAAGATTATCTGACATAGAGGAAAGACAGTGATAATACGCAGTATTAAAGATTTTTTTTGCTATTCAAGGCAGGAAGATCACAAACGAATTTATCACGTGGTGCCGCTTAAGAATTTCTGACCAGAAAACCTCAATTAAAATATTTACCTCCACGGGAAACTAACCCAGGACCTTACTTTACATTTCTACGTACTAGCCACTAGACCAATGAGCTTTTAGCTATTTATACAATACTTGAATAAAATGTGTACTCAGTAAGAATCTAGCCACAAGTCAAAGCTTTGTGTTGTATTTACATGAAGCTTGTTCTAACGCTATTCATGGGCGCGGGAAACCGCAATCCGCGTTTAACTTCATTACAGGAATCGCTGTGCGTCCCATTCCTGGTCAAGCTGAAGCACATTTTACATTAAGAATTAAATGCTTGTTTATTAGTAGGTACCTATTGGAATCTAAGAGATAAAGTTTAATTTACCGAGAGGTATTTTTGACTACTAAACGTAGCGTAGTACGATTACTATACGACATATAAATACAAAAGTTTGTGTGTCTGCGTACGTGTGTACGTGTATCTGTGCACGCGAATGCGTGTGCGTGCGTGTGTTTGTATGTATGTTTGCTTGTGTATCATATATATATTTACATACTGGAAAGCGAGAGTGGAGTGAAGCGATGGTAAGTCTCAAGATTTTTTTTATGTACTAGCAAAATTTGATATTAGGTGGAATTTAATTGAAATAATCATATATTTTTTTAATATAAAAATCCCTGGAATATTAAAAATGTCTCGTAATTTCTGAGAATATTTTCTAGCAAGATAAAAGAGATATTTGAAAATTCAAATAATATCAGTGTCAAAAGTTCTGATTATGAATAATTAATCTTTTGATTCTTTAATTGTTGATAGAATTAATAAAAAAATATAGTAAAATTGTAATTTTATAATACAAAATTAGTATTTTAAGCATAAAATCAGAGATCTACGATATTACTTCGATATATCCATACCTACTAATATTATAAAGAGGTAAATTTTGTGAGATTGTGAGTTTGTGATGTTGTTGGGGGGTAATCTCTGGATCTACAGAACTGATTTAGATGAAATTTGGTAAGAAGATAGGTTGTGACCCTGGGAAGGACATAGGATAATTTTTATCCCGAAAATCATCCCTTAAAGGGGTGAAAATGGGGATGAAAGTTTGTATGGGGAATCAAGCTTGGGATGAACCCGAGCGGAACGAAGGTGAGTCGCTAGTTAATAATAATAATCAAATGGGAAATTCGTACTTTACCGTGTAGTTGTAATTTTATAGAATTTACTTTAAGGATAATACCTATACATAAAGCTTAATGATTAATACTTGCGCTTTGGTAACATTTATATTTTATTCTTTCACACTATCAAAGGCTGACTGGTGCATAAGTTCGTTGTAGTTTACAGCAAAATGATTTTTATATTAACAGCGTTATCTCACAAAGAGCTCAGCGCTGAACAGATTCAACCCAAATTTGATAGATACCCATCACCGCTTATGTAGAGATGGAACGCGAATTGCATTGCCTATTAGCTTTATAATGTTTAAGTGTTTCATATATTTAAGTATCGGTATGAACATTTCAGTAGCTTTTTCTTTTATTAATTATTTTTTTTTAAATAAAACTATCTTTTCGGATTTATTTTGATTTTTGGTTCCCGACGTTTCGAATGCTTTACAGCAATCATGGTCACGGGAGACACTAAAATGTTAGACGTCTCAAAGTCATTAATTATATAGTTGTTACAGACATTGCCCACCCACAAAATTGGACAATGATTTCAAAAATTACAAAAATAG